GACTCCACTTCTCTCTCCCTGAACTTCTCGCTTCCTATATATCGCTCGCAGTCGGCTCTCACATTGTTTATTTGCATGGTTTTCTCAGAAAATGCCAAAGAAGAATGTTTATGTTTTTAAAAGGCAAAAGAATTTTGAGAGGCATCTCTCTCTCTCTATCTCTGCCTCACTCTCTCTCTCTCTCTGTCTCTCTAACTTACTGTCGCTCTAATTTCCCAACTCAATGTTAGTTTATCGCCTCGCATAAAGTATTTAGTTGTATGGCCTCTATTCTATAGCCCCTCTATGGCGTACAAGGCTTTATTGCGTATACGCCAAGCTGGCTCATGCCTAACTTTTTTTTCTAAATAATTGGATTAGTATTTGTGTGCAGAACACACACAAAGCCACCCACTAGCCGCTACCTGACTCAAACACATGTTTACGTTTCCGGAATTTTTATGAAATTTCGTTGTTTTGTTTGGTTATTTGTGTGTGTGTGCATGTGTGTGTGTGGTTAAGCTTTGGGTTATTTGAGATTTGAGATGTGTATGAGTGTGCTCATGTTGGTGTGCTCTTTTTTGTATATTTGTCTGGATTTCGGGCAACAATAAACTAACAAGCGCGAGCGGATTAGTTTCCTGCTCCAGCAGCAGTTCTAGAATTTCCATTATTTTTAGTTAGTTTGCGCTTCGGCAAATTTGCTGCGGCAAATTTTGTTGCAGCAGTGGAAAATGCAAAGCCTTTGCATATTTTCCCAACTCACAAAATTGTGTAGGCCATTTGTTGCGCCCAGAAATATGCTTCAGCAAAACGAGCAGACGGCAAATAAAAATTAGCAAAGGAATGTGAAGGGGGTAGAAAAACTGCTTTCAACTAATTGAATGAGAAGCTCAATTTCAATCTGCGAAATTAAATATTTTGTAGCAAACTTGTTAGATTGTTAAAGTGAAATTAAATACATATAATTTTTACTTACAAATTCTTGCAATGAAAACAAAGCTTTAGGGCAAGATTGTAATATCTGCCTTATGCATACGAGAGCAGCCCCTTCAAGCGAGTCATGAAAAAGGTAAGTTGGCAAACCACATAAAAAAGGTAAAATAAGGAGGCAACGCATGGCAGGAGGCAGGCAGATGGCAGGTAACTGCGTGTCGAATCGCGCCACCTGGCTAAAATAGCAATAAAATTGTTATAGAAATCTGGGGAAAAAATGTTGGCTGCTGCTGGAAGGGCTTGCCTGGAGATCTTGCACCGGCATTGTTTAAATATTATTTACGAGCCGACATTAAAGTCATCTCAATGCGAAGCTCACAATTTGCCCAGAGCCTGATTTATGCCCCCTAGGACTAGAAACTTAAGCAGCGCAGATTCGATGCTAAAAGTTGAGCATTTTGCCAAAATTTTGCTGATTGAGCGGGAGAGAGGAAGGCAAGAGAGAGGGAGAGAACTCTGCGCTGGGCAGTCAAGCGGATGGCAGCTGCCAACTTTAATGCCAAATCCATTAGCCGTTAGCGCTGGCTGCGTTGGTTGCGTTGGCAGCGCTGCTCACGTGTAATCAGACAGCTGCCGCCTGAGAAACTTGCTCGACAATCATGTCTGGATAGCTCAGCACACACACAGAGACACGCATATATGCACACGCACACAAACACACGTTCACTCGTAAGCTTTTCAAATATATCGATCGTAAACAACAACAAACTCTAAAACACAAACATCAGGCAAGCAATAGTCCAGGCTAAGGAATATATCGTATATTTTTGATACTCCTTGCGATGGTTATTGTTGTTGTTGTTGTTGTTGGTGCTGCTGTTGCTGTCGTTACAAGTTGAGCAACTTTTTGGACACACAGCAAAAGTTAAGAGCAGGGCTTTAAGACTGTCAACAGCTGCCTGAAGGTAGCCCAGCAGCAAGGATCTACGCCGCTGTTTGTTGTGGCTGCTGCTGCTGCTTCTTCTTCTTCCTCAGGTTGTCAAGCTGTAAGAAGTACATGCGAGTATTTTATGTATTTTGAAAATAAACTTCAGTTCACGAGTGCTTGACTTGGACGTTGCCCTATAAAGTTTCATATATGTTTATTTGTAAATGAAACACTATATGTTGAAATCAAGACTGCATCTGGATATTTATCGCATTTATGGATTATCGATAAGTAGTTTCAATAATTTGTTTATGCGATACAAAAATATATACATATGTCAAACTGGGAGCATACAAACAAACTCATATACGTGGTATGATATAAGCCAGCAGACAAACTGTCTTATGATATTTATTAATTTTGAGTATAATACATAGTCAAGAAATAGCAACTTACATATAAGCAACCCATATGCGGGTTGTTCCTTATTTTATTTCTTTACTGTTTAATTACTTTTATTATTTTTATTAAAAAGCAATGCACACAACTTAAATGAAGCGCGACAATCTTTCCTATAGAGAACTTAATAAAACAATAAATTCTTTTTGTAACAAAAACGATAATTATCGATCAAATTTCAATGACCATAATCTACATTAAAAATATCAATTATGATGTTTTATCGTTTTCTATTACTACATATGCTTATGCATGCCAAATCAGTTAGACGTAGCTACAACTTAAGTCTGGTTGTCCAACTGCAATTGACCCGGTTTATTGCCCCGCTGGCTTAGATGGATACAGGGTATAACGGAGCTTTTCAATTTATGTCACGGCAGTGGCGGAAACTTTTCGACTGTCATTTATTGCATTTTGTCGCAGCTGCGTGGCATTTTTCTTGTATTTTCTATGTGCTACATAGATTCTATTCGCCTAGTTCTGGCAGCCATTATCATTGTCTATACACACACACACACACACATATATATATATATACACACTCGCACACAGCCATAGGCAACATTTATGGCTCATTCCCATTTCGTAGCCGGCAAATTGCCAATGTGGAGCTCAGGAAATGCTTTACTTGATTTAGCTGCTAAGTGCAGCTGCAGGCGGCAAGTGGCAGCAGGAGCAGCAGCAACACCAACAGCAGCAACAGCAACAGTAGTGACAACAACAACAAACTCAACAATAGCTGTGTGCAGCCCATACCCCCATCTCCATTTGGCCCATCTCCGTTTGTCCACAAATGTGGCATGGATTTTCGGCAACAATGTTCTCATAAATTCCCTTGGCGCTTGTAAAAACAATTATGCCAGATATTTACGCCGCAGTCGACGTTGACGTCGTTGCAAGTGCAACAACAGTTGCAGCAGTCGTTGAGCATTTTTGCTGTTAACAGTTTTTGGCTTCTCATTGCGCCCTTTGACACCGCGACTCTACGTGCGTATCTGCCCTGCAATTTCCTCATATTATTTCTGTTGGTTTAACGCGTCGTATACGCAATATCGCTTACATGCCGCTGCTCACAATTAAACGACAAATGTTGTAATTAAGAGCGAATGCGTATTGTTTAATTAAAATGTGAAGTAAAAGCTTTCAGCTGACTGCAAATGCAATACGATACTAGCCTTTTGTGCACTTCACTGTGTGCGTGTGTGTGTATGTGTGTGTGTGTCTGTTCTCTTTGTGTGCCTGTTTTGTGGTGTTTGCTTACTACTAGAGTTTCATTCGAGTGTTTGCCAAACTATTCACATTTCATATTCGCATTTATCCACGCCAAATATGTGACACCACCCGCATAATTTCAGCACCTGCCTCAGCTGCAGGTGTCGAGCGTATATAAACAGGTAGTTCAAATTTATGCGAGTTCAGGCCAAGCGGATCTTTTGGCCCACTCTCTGTTGGTGTTGGCAGCTAGCACACACTGCCAGGTAGCTTTTTATGAAGAGCCCGATAGATACTTTGCCAACATTTGTGTTTGCTTTGTAACGTTGGTCGGTCAAACTTGAAAAATCAACAAGTTTTTTACACACACAACATAAAGTTTCACTCCAGAACGAAAGCCATTCAGACGAAATGCATAGGTCAAGTTGATCTGTCAAATAAATATGCACGTGATGCGAGTGGTGCATATGAGAACTAACCAGCTTTTTCTGTAAACTCTATTTGTAAGACGATGCTAAATGGATATTTGGTATACTATAAAAAGGTTCGGATGTATCGAGGGCTTAGTCAAGGCAAAAGTTGATCGTATTTGCCATATGAATTGATTCTGGAATTTTATTATTTTCACAAATTTTGTTCTTTGAAATAAATAAAACTCAGTTTTACGACCTTTCGAGTGTCTAACTCTATTAAATAGTAAAATAAATATTCATTTGAATTTAGCTTGATATAAATATATATTACAATAGAATTCCTTTCTATATTCCACTTTTAGTTTTTCCCGCAGTTACTCGATTTGCACATCAAGTTTTTTTAGCGCTTCGACTGAGCTTCGCATTTCGCTTTATGCTAAATAGAATGAACTTTTAATTACCAAATGCTATAAGCCATTTTTTCGCAACTAAAAGCTGTTACATATTATTTGCATAGGTAATTGGTTCTTCTTTCACTTTGCTTATTTTCAATGCGTAAAAAAGAATGAAAAGAAAGACAAAAGAGAACAGAAAATTCCCAAATGAATCTGCGACCAAACCATATCATAACCAACAGAGTCCTCGCTGATTGTGTGTGTGTGTGTTTTGGTGTTTGCTTTGATGGCCACATTCACTTCATGGCAAACACTCGGATTTCGCAGTCACGTTCGAGCTTTAAGCGGGCTTCGTGTATTCCATGGTGTGCGCGAATTTTGCAAAACGGATTTTTGGTATACCACGCAAAGGTTGGGGTTAGTGCTGCTAACCTAACCATGGCTAAAGCAAACATAATACACACACACACACACACGCAACCAGAGCAGGATAATGGCATGTGCTTAGGCCAACACCCAAAACCAAACAGAGCCAAACCATAGTTGAGCTGTTTGTAAAATTTCAATGTGGTCGCTGCTTGGGGATGTATATATATATATAAATATATATAATAATATCCACATATACATATATATTTTGTAAGGGATGGGGCGTATACTTATTAAGCTTGGACTTACGTTATGGCGCTTTTTCTCACGTTCCGGCACCGCATGCCAGCTGAATTGTAAATTCCAATCGAAGCCGCCAACGTTGACCCCACTGGAGTCGCGATAGTGAAACTCTAAGGTCGTATCATCGATAACATCTATAACGGGACAGACAACTGTGGTCGAGTTGCGGGCAATGCGATCCAACAGCGGCTCCAGCCAACCTGCAAAGGGAAGAGAACAAATGACTTTAGTTGCTGAGCAGAGAGCGAACAGGAGGGATTGGCTTAAGTTTGATTAATAAATGGGTAGGCGGAGGGGGGTGGAGATTTATGGTCAGGGTGTATCACATAACAAAATGGTGGAAAATATAAAGTATGCTCCAGTTGATGAAGAAAAAATTGAGAATTCTTTGTGTATAGTAATTGAATGAATGGCTTATGATTGATCGAATATAGAAAGTAAAGCAAACCTGATAAATATAAAGAAAAAGTCTATATGATAACCAAGAGTGTTTGGTAACAGAACAAACAATCTAGGCTTTAAAAGTATTTATTGAAAAATATTTTATATATATGAGAATTATTTGAGACTATTCATGATCAAAATATAAAATAAATGGATTTATTAAGAATGCCAAACATGAGATTATTTCATACCATAATTCTATAGGTAGCCCAGATTTGTATGCTTAAGTTTAATTAAATTTTTAAAATTATAAATACTACTATATTGAAATAAAGATTTTGTTTTGTTATCAGAAAAGAATTATGCTGTTCAGTCAAATAGGTTTCAGCTACTGCACTTATGTTGCACAACAACTTGAACTTGACATTCATTAGCTAACTTTCTCTCAGTGTAGTGGATCCTTTGTGTAAGTGTATCTGTTTGTAGCTTGATTTAATTGCTTTTGCCAGGCGCTTTCCGTGTCCAGCAAAAATTGTTTTCCTTCACCACACGCACACACACACTGCCACACACACTCACGCGCGTTCTTTGAGTTGCAAGTTTTTCTACATGAAATTTCTTTGATACTCTTTTTTGACTCACTTCCTCTCTCGTTGTCTATATATGTCTCATGTTCTTGGATTCGTCGAATTCATGTGCAATAAACAAAATTGATTGTGTGTTGGCCCTTCCATCACTTGCCCCGGGACAAAATGAAATTTTCGCCAAAAAGAGAGATAGAATAAGGGAGAGAGCGAGAGATGAGTACAAAGCAATCAGCGCTATCAACGCTCGAGTGCGGCCCAAACAAAACTGAAGATTAAGTGATTTACTAGTTGGCTTTGTTTTTTTTTTTTTTTTTTTTTTTTTTTTTTTGTAGCTGTTTTTATTTGTGCTCTTGCTGTTTTCGTCGCCGAATCTCATCTCTGGGCTATCAAATGTAACAACACAATTGATAGCCACGTTTAAAGCACTTTGAGGATTTACAAAATGCGAAATATGCCTGAAGCAAACAGCCGAAGCAGAAATAACAAGAAAATAGTTTAATTTTTCGCTTCTATTTTTCTTTTACGGCTCCCATGTTATTTGGCAGCAAATATTGATTGCATATGGAGACCGAATATAGCGCGAGCAAAGTCTCTGCGCCATTTTTGGCCTAATTAAATAATTAATTTACCGTTAACACGGCTAGACCAATGAAAACAATGCCAGCAATTTGCCAGCCAATTAAAACGTTTTGCCAACAAATCGAAATATTGCATCAAGCATAAGCCAACAATTAAATGGAAACAAAAAGCATTGCATACTTTTAGGCAGTGCAAATAATTGTCGGAATAGAGTGAAGCAGGTGGAACGAAGCGGAAATGCCAGAGAAACAAGACATAGTTACAATTTATGCTGGGACATAAAATGGAATATGTATTTTAGTATATATGGAATATATGGTAGTTATGCTGAAATAATTATACAAGCGTTTCACTTCATTCTACTTGACCCTCTGTGGGCGTACGAGGGAGCACTACATACCAGAAGCTATGCGCAAATATGAGAATGTCTATGATTTATACAGGCTATTGGAACGTCGGCACTTACCCTCCGCACACTCGCAATGCGAGTCCAGGTAGGTAATCACAGGTGATTTGGCATATTCGGCGCCCAGCAGGCGAGCACGTATCAGGCCCTCACGTTGCGGTCCGCGCACAATCTTCACCTTGGGATAGGAAGCGAAATAGTCCTCCAGCTGCTTCTTGAGATGTGCTGCAGGAGTAGAGAGCAGATTATTACAATGGGAATGCGACATTTTGACAGTTTGAGTACTCACGCATGTCGCTGAAGTCATCCACCAGAATAATCTCACCAATCAGCTCTGGCGGCGATCGATCCAGCACGGAGTGAACCGTGCGTATCAGCACGGACCACGCCTCATTGTGGAAGCAAATGATAACATCCGTCTTGGGCAGATTGCTCAGATAGAGCGCGCTGTCCTTGCACCAGGCGTCGCGCGGATCGGGCAGCGAACGGCGCACGGATATTAAGTCGGAAACATATTGATTGAAGGCGTTCTTCGTCCAGCCATCGTCCACGGCCTTCTTCATCTCCGGCGACATGTCCTTGGGCAGAATGACTGGTTTGCCCAGCTCGCCAGGGCTATCTTCCAGGTTAGCAGCGGGCGGATCCAAAAAACTTTTATCTGAATAAGAAAAAGATGCCGGGTGAAAAGTTGTTGCTAAATGTGCCTGAAAATTGCTTGGGTTTATTTTTGGTCGGGTGCATAGAGAGGCTACTCTTTCTGCTCCTGCTGCTGCTGCTGCTTTGTTGTGCATGAAATTTACGACTGGCACAACATGCGACACTCGGCGAAGATAAATCGCAAATGCATTTGACATGAAAAGTTGTCATCATCAGCGTCGTGAATGAAAAATGCTTTTGCTTGCAAATTTGCTAGCCAAGCGACACAGTGAGACAAAAAAAAAAAATGTTTAATTCTGCTTATAAAGAATATTTAATAAAGCTAAGTTTAAGTCGTTACTGAATGAGAGGAGGCTAATGGAATATAATTATACTTTATAAAGAAATACCAAATATAAAGGTAAACGACTTTATGTATGTTTGAGCTGCCAAGAATTACTTCTTTGTATAGTAGAATATTAAGAGAAATCTTGTAGACAGTGAAAGAGTGATTGGGTACAATATATACTTTATGCTGTGCTGTCTCTATCTCTCGTAGTGCGTATCTTTGAAGGATTGCTGAGTGTGAATAGCGATCAAGTCTGCACTCTGAAGAGTGAGCTACAATGATTTATGATGAGCTGTTTGGCGATACGGAGAGCGATTCCTTATATTTAAAGCAAGAAAAAATCGAATTATATAAAAAATAAAATTTGTATATGGCCATGGTTTCCCAACACAACTAATTGGCAAACTAGCTCAAATGTATTCATTTATTAGCTGTTATTGTAGTTGCTTAGATTCACAAGAAATTATAAAAATTACGTAACCGAGGGAATTTTCAATTTTATAAAATCATTTAAAAACATTTTTTTTTCCACAGTAAATTTAATAAATAATCTTAGCATATTTACATTATATTATCAGATTGTATTAGATATGCTATAATATGCAGGCATTGCTCAATGAAAATTGATGGTAATTGCTGATTAAATTGATCAAATATATCACAATTCTGTTTGCTCTTGTACCAGTGTGCGACGGTGCGTATACGTGTTGTCTGTGTCAGCTTGCACAAGCTCAATGAGTTCTTCTGCTTGGCGAGAGCTTTTCTCTCTCTGTGTGCGTTTGTGCATGTGTGTGTGTCTGTGCGGAGCTGCCGTGCTCACTGTGTGTGCATTATATTATCTTGTTATTTGCATTTGCATGGAAATATGATTCTGTTCCGGCTGCCAGTTGCTGCTTTTTATGAGATTTGTCAGCCAGAAGTGACACTTATTGGCGCTCATCGTGTGAGCCATGTGAGTTGAAATATGTGTGTGTGTGTGTATGGGTGTGCGAGTGTGTGTCGCACAATGAAAAACATTTCAATTACCACAATCATTTCAATAAACATAAAAAGCCGTCTGCAAAATAAAAAGCGATAAAGGCAAAGCCCAGTCTAAGTTCCACACTCCCATTCCCAAGACCCGACCACGCCCGCTTCGTGTTAGCCACATAATTGTGTTGTGGCAGTTGGAACGGAGAGGCCAATCAGGCGGCGATAAATTTTTGGTCGCACAACAAAAGCCGTTAAAGAAAAAGAAAAACGAAACTGGGCATAGAGCAGGAAAAAAGGAGAGGGATTCGCACATAAATTTTATGATTTGTCGCAGTTACAACTTCATAGCGGGAAATGCAAGCAAGGCTGGCGGATGGGCGGGGCAGGACAGACAGGGATAGAGCAGGACCTGAGCAAGGACTAAGCTACACACTCGACTGTTTGTTGTAATGAATTTTTTTGCATGCTGTGCGCACACGCATCATAATAAAAAACAATAAAACCGAATCGCAAAAGGAAGCTCTATGCAGGCGTACGGGGCGGCGGCGGCAGGAGGCAACAGGAGGCGGCTGTAGGCCGAGGCAGCAAATGGAGGCCCAGGTCTTTGGATTTTTATGTGTTTTATTGATTCACTTATTTATAGCGCAGCATGGAATATTAAAGCACGAGCTCCGGCAGCGCATTGCTATTCAAATGTAGCCACCTGAGCACAATCCAATTATGGCATATAGAAACTCCTCGAATATGATATGAAAACCATTTCAGAATGTACAGTGAGGGCTTCAACTAAACGAAAAGTAAACCTGAGAGCAAAAGTCATAAAAAAACACAAAGCGAAGAGTCTAGAGTTATAAAAAGTCGTTTATGGCCAGTCTATTAAAGTTGTTTTTCATTATAGGTAGGAGAGAGTTATATTCAAGACTCTAACTGGGAGAATAAAATGGAAATAACTAAAGACAACTCTGCAGAGTCTTCCGTGAAATCCTTTCGCCACAGCTTTAATTTAGCTATTAGAAATTGAGGTTAGGTATTCATTCAATAAATCATATTAAAATTCGTAGGCTAATTTCTCATAGGCTCTAAAGCTCAGCACATATCCAGCTGTCAAATTCATTCTCATTTATATCTTCCTTCCACGAGTCGCATTTAGTGAGCAGCCACTGTATAGGCGTATACTTCAGCCATCTATATAATTTTCATATCTATTGGCAGTTTATGGACATAAGCAGAAGTCGAAGAGGGAGCCGAGAGAGTTGGGTAGGGAAAGGGATGCAGAAGGGGCGCTCCAGGGACACGCCTGAGCGTGACAGGAAGCTATAAAACGACCGTTATGCGAGCTGCAGGAGACAAAAGAGGGAGCGTCCCTGTGTGGAGCAGGTGGATCGGGTGGAGCGGGACCAATGTGTGGCCCAGACAAATGCCTGCGAGGTGCCTACACAAGCCAGCTCCGGCCTGACTCGGCGTGCTCCGACATAAAGCATAAAAGGAACATAATATGCTAAAGTAGCGTTATTTGCGGAATATATAGCAGCTGGGAGATGGGAGATGGGAGCTGGGAGCTAGGGAGTTGGTTTGCCCGGGAATGGCAAACAAGGACAATAGACAGCAGGAAACACACACACACGCACGCACTCAAATCAGCGTTATGCTATTATGAACAGTGCAAGGGGGGATTAGCATTGATTAAAAACGGGGCAACACTGGACGCGCGCAATCCACTCAGTGTGGCAGCAGCTGTTCCCAGAGGCGTTACGCTTGTTTCTCTGCCAGCGGATGGGCGTGGCATTTGCATTGTATGTACAAAATCATTATCGCTGCTAAATTGTAAAAAAAATAACAAGTACAAGCAGCCACCAGCCACCAGCCACATAAGAGACACTAAACAGAGAAGAGAGGAGCGGAGAAGTGCAGAGCAGAGCGAGGCGTAGCAAGGCGAACGTAGACGAGGACCAGCCCAAGATCAAGATAGAGCGCGTATTAAAGACATGGCCAGCAGGCACTTTGACGGCGTCTCGACGAACTGGCTGACTAACTGACTGACTGACTGACTGGGTGACTGACTGACTGGCTGGAGTCTCCTGTGGCTCTGCCTGGTTGATGCGTGCGCGCGATAAACGTCGTGTTGGCCACGTCTTTTGGTGGTAAGCGCCCCAAGGCCAGGCAATAAGTACAACAACACTAATTACCAGCTACGAACACACAGGGCACAAAGCACAGACAGAAGAGACAATGGGGCCGTGGTCGGTTAACAGGAACCAGCTAACCAAAGAGCAGAAGATGCCCTCAACTCTCAGCCTCATATGCGTGGCCGAGTGTTGGTAAACGTTGTAGGCTTGCACACAATTTTGACGCCACGGGGCGACTGCTGCACGACAGGATCAGCAAATAGCAAAGCAACAGCAGCAACAACAACAACAACAACACCAACAGCAGCAGCAACAACAACAACAAACTGCAACAACTTGTAGCTTTGCCACCTCTGTTGCTGATGAGGCTGCGCAAGAAGAGATGCAAACATGATATGCGAAATTGCAAATACGTGCATTGTGTGGATCCGCCAGGCAATAAACCCCAGCCGTAGCTCAGAGATGACAGAGCGCAAAGCTATCTACATGCATACATATATTCGAGAGAGCACGACACGAACTAAATTGCACGATGCAGGTGAGTGCAGGTACCAGGTGAGATTTCTAATTGCCATAGAAAGTGTTTGTATCGCGTACGAATAAGTTAGGGAAGATTTCCAGTTCAGGGAATACTTGTTCTCCTTTTCTTTTTTCTTCAAATAACGTACATACGATTTCTAATAGTAATAGAGAATATTTCTTGTTTTCCTCTTCTCTTAGGCGATTTTCAATTGTCATAGTTAATGCATGTCTTTCTTCTCTTTCAAATACATTTTGTCAGGTCTAAGCTCCCTTTTATCATAGCGAGTACAGTGATAACAATATTCTATTCTATATATATATATATTGAACGTCTTTAATTTATCCTAAAAAATTACCATTTCAAGCATTAAAAATTAAAATCCTAAGCTGTTTAGCCTTAACCAAACGGTGTTACTAACTTTTTTTGAGTCCTCTTTATTAATTTTACTTATTTATATACTATGCTTTATTATGAAGCCTAAGAGATCTGTTAGCAAATTTGCAAATTAAGACGAAAATACATTACGACTTCAGCATCGTTGACCTGATCCATTAATTCATTAATTTAAGCATTCGATATTCTCTTTTTTATGAGACATAAACTTTTAATTATGATGTGTATTCGAATAAATCATTGCAGACATTTTTATGCACATACATACATATTTTGGTTGTATATGACTTATTTGAGCTCAAGTCAATCAATCACTTCATTTGCCATCAAAATGCTGTGTTGACTCGAAAGTGCATACAAACTTGTTTTCTGTAGTATCGCACACACGTCGTGTTTACTTGGCCGCTTTCGTGTCACGATAGTTAAGACAGGCACGCAGCCAACTGCAGTTTATAGCCAAGTCGGAAACAGATGCAATCTTAAATGCGTGTAGCACATGCAAGCGGCGTCTTAGCCACTAGCGCTCTGTCGAGCCACGGCTGACTGCTTCATTGATTTGGCCAACACACAAAGACAGCCGAGCTCCAGTCAGTCATTCAGTCCATTGAGTAAAAGCTAAGGGCTCTCTATTGAGAGTTTTGTGCCTGATTAGTGGCAGAGTTGTATCTGTTCCTGATGTAGTAGTAGTTGTTGTTGTTGTTGTAGTTGTAGTTGCCTTAATATGCTTAATGCGAATGCCTCGCCTGACAGCATGAGGCGTGAGGCATGAGCCATGAGGCTTTGGTCTCTCTATTTACCACTCGAAAAGTCAATTTCATTTTACCTCTCGCCACGCACCCCGATAGCCTGAATGCCATTGAAAATGCTGTTTGGCAACAATTGCAAGTTGTTAAGTGCAGCTTCTCCGCCTCGTTGCAGTTGTCGCCGTTGGCATCTTTAACATTGTTGTAAAACTTGTTAGAAATTTTCTTAAAGGCACGCAACGGCAAAGGGGGATAACAGGAGGCGGAAGCAGAGCTCGAGCGGCCAAAGCCGTATGTGGAATTATCCATAGACTGAGTTCGATTTCGGACTGCTTGACCTAAAATCCAAACTCCAAACAAGAAAGAGACGAGACACAGAGTAGAGGGAAGGCCGAGGGAGAGAGGGAAGGAGATAGAGAGAGAGAGAGACGAGAGCCTGCGATTGCGTGAAAATGAAGTGCGAACCGGCTGAATGGGAACGCAGACAGAGTCGAGATTAGCAAAAACTGATTACAGGAATACGAACTGGGCAAGAGGAGAAAAAAGTCAAGAATCAGGTAAATTATGAAGCAAAAACAAGTTGAAGCCGGTGCGGGTTGCGGCTGCCACTAGCTGTGATGGATGTAGCGAGAAATGTGGTTAATCTGGAACTGATTTCAATATAAATATTAATGTTGCACATTTGTAAGTCGAATGCCATGTCGGCGGAAACGTGACAGCAACAGCAACAGCAACAACAACAGCAGCAGCAACTGCAAATTTATTGGTATCAAAAATATAAACTTGGTAGAGATAGAGCAACAGACAATTCCAGACGTGGGGCTGAGCAATGCCAGTATATAGGGAGGGCATATCTCAAAATTGTGCTCTGATGAGGCTATAAATTATGTCAGAATGGCTCAAGAATTTATAGCAACTCTTAACTTCAGCAGAATTCTCACGGTGCATTCTTTCCTATTATAAATGAATATTTGAAAAGCGGAATATAATTAGGAATATCTAAAGAGCGAACAACAGTTTCTAAATGAACTGACGAAGAGCTTTTGACAGGTTTTCTCCATTTGTCGTTGTATTTAGCTAAACGATTGATTTTATTAAATTCTTTGTGCTCGATTTGAGTTTTAAAAGTCAGTTCATTGTTTATTCAAAAGACAAGAAAAGCAATATAGATAAATTTGTTTGGTAAAGAGCTTTCTAATACTTCACTATATCTATAAATATAACTATATCGGTTCCAACAATTTTAATTTTAAAAAAGTTTTGATTAAACATCTATTAATCAGCTAATTCCAACAAATATCTACAAAAGAATTACGAAAAATAGCCACCTCCGAGTTCTTTTTATCTAGTCTATGCGGTCTAGACGAAGTTAATCAACTTTGCAGATCAAATAAGAAATTTCCCTTTTTTTATTTTATATATTATATATTTATAATAATCACCGATAAGTCTTTGCGAGTTATGATAGATTTTTCCCCAGCTACATTTCAAATTTTATATAAAACCTGCTCATCCCTGGAAAAAAAAAATTAATTAATTCTGAAATATTTTATACCTTAGGTCAAATAAATTTGCTCTATAATAAATTGCAATTTTTTTTTCGAAACCTTCCGTAATTCATAATACAAAGCCAAATTTGTAAGTGAGTAAAGCTACAGTGAGGTTTTTACAGACAAAATGATGTATTTTTTTTTAAATTTTATATTTGTATTATTAATTTAGCAGAGAATTCGCTTTTCTACAAGAAAAAACGTAGCATTATCAATCGCACAAAAACAGAGCATAAAATAAAATCAAATGCATTAAATAATAACTCCATAAACAGTCGTGCGAGTTCTACACAAAAAAAAAAAAAAAAAAAAAAAAAAAAAAAAAAGGGGAAAAAAACCATTTTATCCTGCAAGCATTCATATCTAAAATACAAAATCCGTGTAAATTCCAGGGATTTTTTTTAACACAAGAAAAAACATGACGCTTTGAGTTTCTATTATTAATGAGTTTAACACATACAAGCTATATGTCACTTATCAAGCAGTCAATCAATCAGGTCAAGAGTTCATTTTGTATATCAGTCTAGCAGCAACAAACTTCAGGTATTCAACAGTTGCAGCTGCTCAAGGTGAAAATATTTATCAAAGTCATAGCTCAACTTGAAATGAATTTGAATTTCATATTTAATCAAACCTAATGGGTTGCTAAGCATTACTTTAATTATATATCTGCCATGGCCGGCCCTAAATACCTCATAATATCATCCTGTGCAGAGTTAAATTATGTAATACGAAATGTGGCTGGAACATTAAATATTAATTAATATGGCGGATTAGCTTACCGTCTTCCTTGGATAGCGACAGCTTCTGGGGCGTCTTCTCGTCCGCACGGACAGCCACATTGCGGTGCAAGGACTCGACGTTCTGCTGCCGTGGAATCACCTTGACACGCTTGTGCTTTGCCGTGGGCGGCACGTCCGCCTCCTGTGGTGCGGCGCGATCGGCGACATCCTCTAAATCATTGCGATTGCCACCGAAAGCGTTGAGGGCCGCATTCACCTCCTCCTCGGAAATGGGCCCGTTCTTCAGAGCCAGTGCAACGGGATCTCCGGCCCCGCCGCCAGCATTGAGGCCATTGTTGCCGCTGGCGCCGAAGCCGCTGCTCTCCTGCAGGGTCGCCCGCCGACGCGTATCATCCGTGTAGATGAGGAATGCGATGCAGAACCAAATGGCCAGCATCAGTGCTACCAGCTTAACAATTGTTGTGGAACGACGTCGCCAAATGAATGCCATGATGAAAGTTATTGGTGGAAGCCCCTATCTCTCTCTCTTTGTATATATAGGCTGCAATGGCAATTGTGTGGCTGCAATTCGTGCGCCAGTTGTTGTTAATGGGCTGTGGAAGCTGTGGCGTGGGCACAGTTGAAGGGCGACTGTCGCACGCGGCGTATGCGTAACATTAATCAATGCCCGGATATGTGGCACCAAGAACCAATTCCAGCTGATTTGCTGCACAATTTTTGGGCTAGCTGATATGTTGCTGTTGTTTATCCACTGCAGTTGTCGATGCAGTTATTGTTGTTGTTGTTGCCTTCGCCTCACGTCTGCTGCCCGACACGAATTTCAATTTGTTGCCATTCCACTTGAAATGCCTTTGCTATATTTTCCAAGTTATCTACACACACACACATCCACTCTCTCTCTGTCTTTCTGTCTGTGTGTGTGAATCAGTCTGAATGTTGGATATGACGAGGAAGCAATGGACGAGATGCGACGTCTAGTGTCCTTTCTGCACGCCACACGTTTGGTTAAGTCAATTTAACCGTCTCCTTGTGCACTCAGCCTGCAAATGAACCAAAACAGGAAAAGAGAAAAAGAACGAGAGCATTAGACATAAAGTGAATGAGAAATGGTGAGTGTCTCGGATTGAGAATCGAGTTGAGTCGAGTCCAATTGAATTGGGTTTGGTTTGCTGTTTTAAGTTAGTCTAATCTGCACACGTTTAAGCCAGCTGCACATTAAGCCATTAAATTGAAACGCATATCGGATGATTGGCAATCCGAGCAGAGGCAATATTGATTTTTGCCATTTCTTTCGTTTACAATTTGCTCCGCAATTAAATACACAGCAACACGCAACTAATGTCAATATTATTTAATTGCACAACTTGCAATTGCATCGTGAAGGCCCTCGCCAGTCTCAAAGTCTCTAGACGCTCTCTGGCGGTCGCCAGGTAAATGACACGCCACTTGAGCTCTGCCCCTCAGTGCAATCCCATGCTCAGTGCCAGGTTCTTCGGCAAGTGGATGCCCCACAGCGAGAAGTTGCGTGCCACGCTGTTGCATCAAGTCAAAAGATAATAACAACTGCGATGAGAATCAAGCTGAAGAGCCCTAACGAACTTGAAATACGCTCCAAACATATGACTTGGCATGGAATTTTCGCCAGAAGCGAAATGAAGAGAGTGAGATTGATTTCACAACTCACAAAGCTCGTCTTATGTACTCAGCTATTACTATATCAGTTATATTTGCATTGATTACGTAAGTAATTAATAGATTCAGTCACGATAACTACTCAATCATCTTTAAGACAAGCTCAAGAATACGCAAATCTATTCATTTTTATTAGTTTTAAACTTAATTCTAAGTAATTATAATTAATTGCTTCAATAATTAATGCAAATCACTTTTATATTGGATTTTAATGTGAGACAAATTTATTGTGCCTTATTTTATTTTTAACTTATTTATAAATAAGCAATTCATAAATATTTGAAGCCAACATTTTATTTAAAGCAAATTGAGTTGTGAAAGTAAAAAAATTGAAATTTGAATACTTATCGATTTTTTTTTTTAATTGCTTAAGATTGAGGCTCGAATTTACTGTTAAAAATAATTAATTTATAGCTGTACAAATCTCAAATATTTTATTGCAATAATAAATGTTCATTAATTAAAAATGTTATCAAGTTAATAGAAAAGTTTATTGTGATTAAATTACAAACATTTAAAAATAAAAGATTAAAAATTAAAAAAAAAAAATCAAATATTTATAAATAATATTGAACATTAAATTCCAATTCTTCACCAAAAGATTTTTATAAATTTAAAATGTTTACATAGATGAAAACTTGTTTTTCAAAATTTAATAAAGTTATTCATATTTACTCAAAAATGTAATTTGATAGCGCAATTTAATAAAAATTAATAATAATTAATAATAAACAAATTTTTATAAAATAAAGAAATATGAATAACAAACTAAAAAAAAAAAAAAAAAAAAATACTAAATTCTCTTAAGTTCATCAATAAAATAAAGAAATATGAGTAACAAACTTAAAAAAAAAAAAAAAAAAAATTACTAAATTCTCTTAGGTTTATCAATCAATTTTGATTGAAGAACTCACTAAAATAATATATTTTAAATATTTATTTGCCTTACCACAGATTTATATATTTTGTATATTATATTCTGCGATACTTCTGAAGTTAGCCTTAAAAGCATCTCCTACGTTATCCAGTTAAATGAATTCTTTATTTAATATTATGTATATTGAATGCAATTTGGAAAATGTTTTTGTTGTTTCTGTTTGAAATGTAAATGTGAACAGCAAAAGAAAAGGGTACTTGGTTAGTTTTATGTTTGTGTTCGTTTTTTCCCTGAGGTGCTCTGGGGCTGTCTCTCCTCGTGCTTAAATGGAAAATGTAATAAACATTAAGTACTGGCTGGGCCGCGTAATGCGCACAGCAGAGCTGGCCAAGATCGGTTGCAGTTAGCTGGTCAAATGCAGCCTTGGGTCTAGGCCAAGTAATTGAATGAGCATGCTGAGCTTAGAGCCAGGGCCAGCTTATCAATTAGAAAAGCCAGCCATGCCAGAGACAGACGCACAAACAGAGGAGGAGGACCGAGAGGGAGAGGGAGAGAGAGAGGCGGCGCCCTGCCCCCTTCACTCTGATATGTGTGCATACAATAAATACAAGTTAATTACTTCGTGTGCCTTTTGTTATGGCTCGTTGGGTTCAAGTGGCATCGCCGACCTGGCAGAGCCCTCCAACCAAGCCGGCAACCACAGCACCACCCTGCACCACAGTTGGCAATTTCCGCTGTGTGTGTGTGTGTCTGTAAATAAATTGAAAAGCAGAGCAAAAGAGAGCAGCGCAAAATAGCAGCAAACGAGAGAGAGAGAGAGAGACAGAGAGAGAGAGAGCGAGAGGGAGATGGAGCACATGTCATGTCCTCACTCAGCTGTAAAAGTTGCTGCAAAAAAGTGGAGCGATTAGAGTTGCCCACCACAGCGAAAAATCTATGGCCAGAGCAAGGCAAGGAGGAGGACAAGGAGGAGGAGGAGGAGGGAAGAGTGGCTTACAGTTGAAATACGCATTAGAATAACATGGCAAACTAGCAACAATTGCCGTCAACTTGTGTGTGGAGTGTTTCTGGGGCGGATTTGCAACGAATTTGCTCGACAGTCGTTCACGCGCATAATCAGGGGATTTGAGCTCGTGTCTCTTGCAGCTATTGGTCAAATTTATTGCGCCAACTACTTCAAACGGCAATCACATCCACAATTATCCGGAGCAGGCAATCAATAATTGATGGGTCGCAATGCCATGGAATTCGGGTTCTATTTTATTTGCATATTTGAATTTCTACCCATTTACAGCGACGCATATTCAGGCCTTGCAGCTGTTGGCCATGCAAATGGTCCTTGATGTTGCCTGCGGCACTCGCGACTCTCATTTAAATGGTTTTGTTAATTAAAATTCACGTCTCACTGGGCCACGTGGCGTATGCGCCATGCACGCGCAATCCAGTTCAAATAAAACGTTATACATTTCATACAAGCACGGACAAATACATATACTATATATTTATTTTTCAATAAAAACTTTAATATTGAGTTTGCAGCTCACAAATAATATCCATTTGAAACGGAAAGTAAATTCTGCGTAATCGAGAGATAAGTTATATAACAGACAACAAGTTCGCATCAAACAGTGTCAAGCTCAATTCTTTTTTTTTCTTCTTTTTTTGGGTTTTTAATTATGTCAGAGTTTCCAGTTTAATGCTTAAGATAACAGGAAACGCAGATAGGGAAACTGGCGACAATAAATTAACTTTACGATCCAAAAGCAAATATTCACGCCAAATTCTTAAAGAATGTGTGCAGAGAACACTGAGTGACGGCATTTGTTCTATTATTATGTTATTTGTTAACGTTTCCTTTCCCTATTTGCTAAGATATATAAGTTCTCTTTTCCGTGTCACTCAAGATTAATTTTTTGTGCTTGATTCTTTATCGCTCATTTCGTCACTCTACCTTTCATTGGCTCTTTATAGAGGCTGCAGCATAATACTCTCATAGTTCCATAGGCTGCAGTATTTTAATGTTTCTCTCTTTTGTTCTAGAACGTTTCATTAACAAGTTGTCTCATCAATAATACATATTAGCAATTGCATTTCTGGGCTCTTTTCTGTCCCTCTTCAGAGGGCTCATATGAAAATAAATTATTCTCCGTTTAGCTCTTGGTCTTTAGTATGCAGAATAACACTATCATAATCTTAAAACCCACTCTCAGTTCTCATTTTAAGGCTCACTCCTTGGTAATCTGCAGAGTTATTTAAATGATGCTCCAAAAGATCCAATTCAATTCACAGTCTAACTCATTATAATTGTTCATCAGCTATATATTCCCTTCACAAAGTAGGTTTTATATCATATTGTTTCCATATAGTTTCCCTCTCTCTGCCTATCACTCGCTCTCTGCCTCTCACTCTGCATATTTCTCTTTTTTTTGCATCTCTCTCTCTCTCTCTCTTAAGCCCATTACATACTTGGCCGCCTTCAATTAATAAGTCTGTGATAAATGCTATAAACTCTAATCAAATATGCATATATTTCAACAAAACAAACTCTAATTTAGCGTACATAAACATATTACCAAGATGATGTGTGTAGATCATATATTCAAGGAACTACAGCTACCATTTATAATTGTTTATTTTCGACTAAGCGGCTAGGCGGCTGAATTCTCGTATGACTAAACAAGCCAACAAACACAGCCAGCTCATTTCAAATATTGGGTTAGCTGCAATATGTGACGAAATGAATTTCAGCATCAATTTTAATGCCTCAATCGTATTTACAATTTTGTGTGCTGCTGTTTGGCTAAATGAGCTGCGGTCTCAGGGCCATCAACAGAGCTCGAGCTGGTGTATGTCTTACAGAAATAATATTTGCAGGTAGCAACAGTGGTTTACATTACTCATTTGTTCCACAGCAATTGAATTGTTATTGCTGTGGCGTTAGATCGATGTTAGCTATTTACCTGGGCTTACGGCCCAAGGGGGGCGGGCAGATAGCGGCTGAGAGGGAAAACACTCGAAATTAAAAGATATGCGTTGACAGCGCTACTCGATAAGCGCACGCGGTGGCATTGTTACCCACATTTCGGCCGAGGCCTCGGGGCCTGACATGCTCTGCTGTCAATCCCCATGAGAGAGTCGAGAGCCCAGGTTGGCTACCCTCGGAATTGCGCTATGTTCACGTCGCTTGTTTGCCTTATCTCTCGGCTAATTGACTGATAAGCGAATCAGCAATTTGTGCGTTGTTCTTGGAAGACTCTGAAGACTATTTTCCTCTTCTATTTTTTCATTTGCCTTTCGCCTCGGTGTTCTTCGGCAGATAAGATAAAATTTAATTGAATTGCATGTTAAAACGGGCACGCCGTTGGCATGCAAATGCTAACCAGCTCCAGGATGGATGATCCGCCGTCAATAAAGTTCCTGCTCCGCCTCCTCCTACTCCTGCTCCTGCTCCTCCTGCAAGTTGCTGCTCAT